CGCGCGCATGGTGTGTGTGTGGCAACTACATTAACCTTGGAGTTACGTGGTTTTTAAATTTTTTTAAAAATTTTTAAAGCCTCATACACACAGAAGATTGTGGGACTCGACCGTTACTGTTTTTTGTAAACTGTAGAGCCACTGAAGCACAAAGGGAAGGAACTCTGATGGCGCAGTCAGTGCCTAAGGTGTTTGACTGCTAACCAGAAGGTTGGTGGTTCAAACCCACCAGCTGCTCCGCGGAAAAACACTGAGCACTCTACTTCCATAGAGATTCACCGCCTCCTCGGAAACCCAAAGGGGGTCGCTATGAGTCAGAATCGACTCAATGGCAGTGCGTTTGGTTTGTTTTTTTGAAGCACAAAGAGAGAGGGACAGGGCTGAGTGGCCAGAGTTCCAGGAAAAAGTCACATTTTCAAACTATGGCAGATGGGTAAGCCAGCCTGAAAACAGGGATGGTGTGTGTGTGTGTGTGTGTGTGTAGGGGTTACTTTCTATTGGCTTTACAAGTGGCAGTTGGGGTTCAGCAGCCCACCACTTACCTCCAATCACCAGATTCCTCCCCTAAGCCTACCAAGCTCAAACCCTGGAATTCCAAGAGCCTCCCCTGCCCATCCAGGCAGCCTGAAAACCCCACCCCTCCCACTGGAGACATTTTCTATCCGGCTGGAGCAGGTTTGGTGTTGGGCACTTTTCTTTTTAATCCCTCATTTATTTCGGCCTGGCCAACCCCGCCAGGGCTATCCTGACCAGTGATCTACGCTCATTGGAGTGAGTCAACATATTAAATCTTGGATTGATTGCCTGACTGGAGGACCTTGACAAATAGTGCAGACACTGTTGCATTAGGGCCCCAGCTTGGCGGCCCTGCGGATCTGGCCGGGGGTCGGGCCTTGGCGGGCCAAGGTTCCGCCCCAGGTCGGCTTTTTCTGGCTCCGGAACAGGCTCCGTTGCCCCTTGGCCGGTCCTCTAGGGAGATCTGAGGGGTCTCGGAGTTGCCTGGAGGTGTTTAATGCCCCGCAGGCCGACTTTGTTCAGGTAAAACCTTTTGCAAACCACAACAAAAGCGCCCTGGGAAGATACAGGGCCGATCAGAGGGCCCTCTCCCCAGCCGCTGAAAGGGGAACACAGCCACAAACAATGAGGGACAAGACGATCTTATCAAAGAAAAGGTCTTTCAATGCCTTCATAACAGCCGCATTCTGTTTGAATTACCACCACAGAGCAAATGGCGGCTCCCTCTTTCATCCCCCTCCCCGCCAGGCGCATTAACATAAACACGGCCCGGCAGGCGCATGTGAATGGGCGCCACGGCCCCGACCCCGCTAAGAAAGTAAAGGAAACTAACAAGTCCTGCGCGCCCGCTCCGTGGTGGGCGCGTTCACACGTGCTAAGGCCTTAAGCGCACTGGAGGCATTGATATTCGCCTGTTTCACAAAGAAGGACGCTCACAGAAGGTCAGGCACATAATGAAAGGCGGGGCTGGCACTGAAACCAGGTTGGAGCTTCAAAGGGCACCTCCAGGCCTGGGGATGGGGTGCTGCGTCAGGTGCACCCCCAGAGCTGAATGAATACCCTAGGAGCATACTCGCCTTGGAGCCTCGGAGTAGCTCTAGTTTGGGTGCTGCCCTGTTAGTGCCCCGGAAGGCGGTAACCAGATGCCTGTGCGCTCCGCGTCCCGCGCCCCAAGGGCCTTGGAGGTGCCCCACACCCCCTGGGAACCAAGGAGGGCTTGGAGGAGGGGAGGGTTGAGAGGGACTTGTCAGAATTCATTATTGACTGCGAAAGTCACCACCCTCTTTCCGGGCCCTAAAAGAGACAATAGCAGGGCTGGGAAGGTGTATATCAAAGCCCGCCGGGCCGCGCACCCGGGTCTCCGCCCCTTGACGGATGATGCTCCGCAGAGGAGCCAGGCTCCGGCCCGCGAGCCGCGGCCTCCCCACATTAGCATCACAAGGGCGCCCGGCGCCGACCGAGGCCTTGCCACCTCGGCGCGGGACTTCACAGCGGCCTCTCACCTGCTGACCCCGCGGCCCGGGCTCCAACAGCTCCGCTCTGGCCTCACCTCTTCACTCAAGCCTGCTCGCGGCCACTGTTCCCTGAGGCACAAGTCTCCCTGGGGCCGCCTGGGCCCCCCGCCAGTCTGCCCCACTTTCTACAGCATGGGGCCTTCGGCGTGCTCGGCTGCAGAGGGGCGCCTTCTCAGAGTGAAGGGCCGCAGCCCAGCTGACGCCCCGGGGCTCCCGGAGGCTTGGCCCTCTGCCCTTCTCCTCCGGCGGCCGCATTTCCCACTGGGACGCTCCGGGCATGTGCCCAGTGACGCAGATTCCCATCCCGACGGCCAAGCCCCGACGGCCAGTCTGATTTGCACGGCTCTAATGGGCTGTAACCTGCGCACTAGCGGAAGCGCGCCCGGCTCGGAGGAGCCCAAGGATAGGAAAACGGACGCCAACGGGCCTCTCCGACCACAGTTTGTTCGCATTTCCTTCCCACATGACACATGTCCCCATACCAGACCCGGGAGAACCCGGAGTCAAGGAAGCCACAGGCCGAGTAACCTAGAATCATTGCAGGGATGGATGTTCCGAGCAACCCTCTTGAACGAACACACGCACACATTCCTGAGACCTTAGCGAGAAGCTTGGGCAGAAACGATCCCCCGGTAGGTACCGTGGCTGACTCTCCATCTGGGTTCTTCCCTGTCTCCCTGCTGTCCCCGTAGACGGGAGGGGACTCCCACGCCCTCCTGCTCGAAGCTCTCTAGTTTTTGCTTAGAGTAACTTCTTGTGTGGGAGACAGCCTTTGGCAGATCAAAGGTTCAAAGACCGAAGCGCGCCTCCTCCCCCTGGGTTCCTGGGGCCCTCATCTCCAGCAACAACTGCTTTTCCTTCTCCTTACGCGTCGGAGCTCCCATCCCTATGTTGTTGTTGTTATGTGCCGTCGAGTCGGCCCCGACTCATAGCGACCCCTCCTTGGGTTTCCGAGGCAGTATCTCTATGGAAGTAGGATTGCCCAACCTTCCTTCCGAGGAGTGGCTGGTGGGTTTGAACCGCCAGCCTTCTGGTGAGCAGTCAAGTGCCTTAGCCACTATGCTACCAGAGCTCCCCCCATCCCTATAATAAACCCCAATTGCCAAGCCAGGCCCGAGAGGAAGCCTCGCGCTCCTCCCCTTGCCGGGGATTCAGCAGACCCCAGGCCACCTGTCTTCTGGGGAAGTCTGATGGAGAAGGAGGGCGCGGAGAGAAATGGTCTGGAAGCTGGCTGGCGAGGGCCAGGCTGCCTCTCCTCAGAGGCCAAGAGCTGCGCCCCAGCGCGCGCCAAGCAGCTGGGGAGACTGATTCCACTCTAGGACGGCCGTGCTCACGCCAACTTTCCCGGGAGCTGCCCGAAGGCGTCCCGAGGTTGTGAATGAGGGTCCCCGGGGACCAGGAAGTGGGTAGAGCCCCACTCTCTCCTGCGCCCTCAACTGAAGAGTTGTGACGAGACCCCAAGTATCCCCTCTGCAATCCCCGCGCCGGAGCTAGAGAAGCCGCGAGGGCCAAAGCCCGGGACGCCCCTGTGAGCGCGGCCGGCCGGGCCCTTCCTAGGGCGCCCTTCGGCGGGCCGCCGCCGCTCACCTTGGCTCCCGAGTGACGGCTGTGCCGGCTTCCGCATCCATTCGCACAGGTTCCGCCGCTGGCCGCCCGGGGACAGCTGCTCGGCGGCGGCGGGCCCAGGCGGCCCGGGGTTCAGCGTCTGCAGCAATCCCGAGGCGCAGGAAGGCGCGGCGGCCGGGTGGTGCGGGTGGTGGTGCGGGTGGTAGTCGGCGGCGCTGCTGTAGCCCATGGCGGCGGCCGGGGAGCCCCCGTTGAGGCCGTGCGCCACGGCGTTGGCGGCGGCCGCTGCGCCCCCCGGCGCGTAACCATTCCAGTCCTCGCGGAGCGGGGCGCCGTAAGCGGCGGGCCACGACGGCCCGGGAGACTGCGCGCTGTCCAAGTTCGCAGCAGCCGCGGCTGCGGCCGCCACGTGGTAGCCGCCGTAGTCCGGGTACTGCGGGGGGCTGACGAAGTTCTGCGGCGCCAGGTTCAGGCCACCAGAGTGGCGCACGGAGCTGGGGTACATGCTCACGTCCTTGTCCAAGAGGTAGCTCACGTACATGGTGGCGAGGGCCTGGGAGCAGACCTCACCATGCTGCCTGGGGACCGACGCTGAAGGCTGCCGGGCGCACGAAGGGGAAGGGCCGAGGGGCGAGAGGAACGGCGGGTGGCTGCGCCCGGGCCGGCTGTGTCCGCGGGCTCTTCGCGGCGCTCCTGCCTCCGCGGCGGTCCCTCTCTCTGGCCGTCCTCCTCCCTCCCTGCCGGCCTTTCCTCCCACTTGGCTGCGGAGGCGGGGAAGACCCGCCAGAGGCTGGCGTGCGGAGCCCCAAGCCGACGACCTTACGTGATTAACGCGTGTTTACAAGAGTCTATTAGTAATGACAGAGACACCAATGGCTGGAGACGTCGAGGCGCAGCGCGCACCCGGCGCACAACCCCCCCGGAACGCGATTTGCATTTTAAAAGATAAGGGGGGGGGGAGCTCGCGAGAGGGCAGCGACCCGAGCACAGCTAAATATTCAAACCTTTATTGTTTAGAGCTTCCTCCTTCCAACCTCGTGCACTTTAACCTTCAATCTACACGTTCAAAGAAGGAAATCCAGAGACTTGCAAAAGAGAGGAGAGTGCGCTATCTTGGTGCGAATCTGGGTTTGGAGACGGGGGGCTGTGGTGTTTACGCATTTGCAGGGAAGGGGGCTGTAAGAAACTCCTCAGCCCGAAGAGCAGAGGGGATGCAGTTCTTTGATGCCGGCGTTTCTGACCCAGCGACCCGGGAGTGGAGCCTAGCCCTTGAGATGGGCCGCGCGCGCGTCCTTCCCGCCCTGCGTGCGCCCCTGGCCCAGGCCGCTGCGGCCCGCGCACACAACTGCTGCTTCTAGACATTTCTTTTTCTTGGCTCAAGACAACCACTTGTCCTCATCAGGAGATAAATTGTGACTCTAGCTTTGGGCTGCAGTTTAAGTTCAAGCAATGTCTCTCTCTCTCTCTTTAAGTATTTATGTTGAACACTCCATAAAAAGGGGAGGAGGGCTTTTTGAAACGACAAAAATAGAAAGCTTGCGGTGGGAGTCAGATTAGTGGCCATCCGGGAAGGCAGGGGTCAATGTTAGTGATCTACGAATGTGTGGCTCTTGGGTAGGGTACTGGGTGTCCAGTTTGTGATAATTCAGTAAGCAGCATGTCCATGTTCATTATACTTAAAGAAAGATCGAGTAAAATCATGCCTAGGATTTCTCCGTATACTACCTAGGTGTTTTCAACAGTCGGACGTCACAGCTATACAAGCACTGGGTATTTGTACCTCTCACAACAAACCTGTGTCTCAAAAACACTTTCTCCTTTGCAAAGTAAACCATTCTCCCAAACAATGCCTTTCCATCAGTGAGGAGTGCGAAGGGAAACCCTGCCATTATTAACCATTATTAAATGTGGCTTTGCTGAAGCACGAAGTGGGGAGTAGGGAAGGGCTGAGAAAGGGCCCCCAGTGATTTTCGCAGCGATGCGTCCCCCGGGCCAGTAGCTAGAAGTGGCCTGACTGGAGCGGCCCAGGCCAGGGCCAGGGACGGCCAGATCGGGCCGCGGAGAGTGGGCCTGCGAGCGCAGACGGCCTCCTCGCCGCCAGACTCGGGACTGAGGATCGTGGCGCTGGCCCGCAGGGCTGGGCAGGCGGACTGCGTGGCGTTGAGCGCTCGGGGAACGCGCTGACTCGCCCCTGGAAACCTGCACTCGTCGGTTCCCATTGCCAAGCGCTTCTCTCGTGTATTCATCGCCCATCACCTAACCCTGTCATTTCTGGAGCACTTTCCAGTCCTCATTATCCCCTTTGCCCCTCACACTTCCCTGGAACAGGGACAAAACTACAATTGTCCTACTGTCCATCCACTTTATATCAGACACCCACCAGGTGCTGGGCCGATAGGCCGCGGCAGGATTGAGACTAGCTTGAGTCTGTGGGATCCTGCCATTGCCGGTTCCTCGGCCCCTTGTGTGTCCTAAGGAAGAATAGGAAAAATAAGCCGGTTGTATGCGCACTTTGTGTGTGTGTGTGTGTGTTTGGGGGTGGACACGGCTCTGCTGCACCCGCGAGTGGGGAGCGGCCTGTTGCAGAAGCGGGAGACGAGCTGGCCTTGAGTCTGGCCCTCCCTGGCCAGGCGCGGACAGCCGAAAGACATCGACCATCCCTCGAAATACTGTCGGAAATAAATTGCAAATCCCATTACAGAACCCAGAGGTGCTGGGCGTAAGGAAGGGGCTGTCTTCAGTCCAGAAGGGGTGGGCCTGGGGGAGGTGAAGCAGCGGGAGCTGGGAACTTTTGATCTACAAAACCTCCTGTTCCTGGAGACACATTCTCTCTTTCTGCCTCCCCCCCACCCCCACCCAAGACTCTGCATTCTCAAAGCCCAGGCCGAGGCTCGAGCCTGTGTCTTCGGAATCCTAGCATTCTTTGGAACAATCACTTTATTGGGGACAGCCATCCCCTCCGCCCCGAGGTGGCCGCTTCCTGCGTTTTTTATGGCCCTGGCCGCCGGCCGCTGGCTAATTGTCCGGGTTTTCCAGCTGTGTCTCTGTTTTCGCCCGGGGGAACAGCCCGGGCCTGAACACCCGGCTCCGTGGGGAGTGGCCCGGGCTGGGGGGGCCCGCCCGTAGACCCCAGACGGACCGGCTGGGAGGCCGGGAACCCCCAGGTTTGCTTGGGCTGTGCAGGGCCAGGAAAGGAAACCCTGAAACAACCATTGATGTCTCTTACTGTAAAAAGGGGCCTGGTGACAGTGGCAGTAGCAGAGTTCCCCGCCTGTGGTCCTGGGGTCTGGGCTATTTGGTGACAGAAACGGAGCTGGAAAATTTTGTTCTTCGACCGGCTTCTCAGAATGAAAATGTCTCCCCCTCAGCCAAGAGAGGACCCAGCTGGACCCCTTGCAGTGGCAGTGGCTGGGTGACACAGCAAAGAGGAGCAGGTGGCCGATGGGAAGACAGCTATGTGGCTTTTTTCGTGGCATTTGAATCTGGTACCTCCAACATGGCTCCTCTAGGCGGGCTCCTCCAGCCTTGGAGCGCAGGTGCGTGCGCCCATGAGAGCGACATGTTGGACACCAGGGCCCCATGCAGCGTGTCCTTAGCCCTAGGCCCAATGCACTGGATGGATTTCTCAAAGTTAGGCTGCCTGTCCTGCAGCCTGAGCCAAGAACCCCCCCCAGAAAGGGACAGGGATGTACCCCCAAGCCCCGCTGGCCTGGCCCTCTTGGCCTGGCAGAGTCTCCAGGTCACGGCCAGCCTAAGAATCCATTAACAAAACACTTGGGGAGGCTGGGCTAGGCTGGAGCTGCAGCCTGGGCCCCACAGAACTGGGGCTAGAACTTTGGGCAAAGGGTTGGGGAGAAAGAGACCCTCATCCAGGTGCAGAAAGCAAGACAGGAAGACCCAAGTTGCAGCCAAGACCAGATGTTCAAAGGGATGTCTTTGTTACTGACATCGCAGCTCCCAGAAACCATTGCACACTCCTGGGAGGGGGTTCGGGCTTTCAGGGTCCAAGGCAGCAGTGGCAGGGGGTGGGGATGAGGGTGGGGAACAGGAGGCAGACAGAAGGGGCGGGCTGCTCAGAAATGAGACGCTCCTAGACTCCATAGATCATCGACACAGAGCCCTGCTCCAAGGTCCATAGTGTTTGCTCCAGCTTGGGGGACCCTGCTCTGCCCCATATTTTTGGCTCCTGGAAACTAGAAGCCCGGTGACCCTTGCAACCCAGATAGGGCAGGCCGTCTTAACGACCCACCTTAACATGCAAGTCTATTTTGTCAACCCTGTGAGATCAAGGAAATAGGAAATTCTCCAAAATATTACAGCCCTTCCATATACCCTTGTCTCCCCTGGATGGGAAACCCCCACCCTGCCCTGACCTGGGTTCTCAGGACAATTAAAGAAGCTTGAGAAGAGAGAGAATATACCTGATAAATTGAGTCAGCTTGGCGGTCTACACTGCTCTGGCCAAATGGCTCGCTTTCTATTTAATTTGGAGGGTAAGGGATCCGTCAGCCATTGCACTCAAACAGAAGCTCACACAAAGGGAGGCCCAACAAAGGATGGTTTGACCCCAGCCCCCCCCACCTCCCAGGCCAGCTCAGCCCACTCAGCTAACAGCTCTGGGAAGGTAATCAATAGCAGTGTCCTTTCTGTGGGGCCTCTGGGGGGGCACCACCTGTCCAGCCCCATCATTGTTGGGCTGAACTGCAGATGCCCACAGCTGCCCAGATGCCATTTACGGGAGCAGATGTCTCCCATCCAAGCGAGTGAATCAAGTTATTCCCCAAGCAAAGCGGGGGTCTGGTCCTCTCTACCTGAGGGAATGTTCCTGAATCTGTGGGAGATCTTTGATGGACTAGAGTTTACCATTCAGGGACCAGGTGCAAGAAGACAGGTACATGCATAAGGCAAAATGAGTGCCTCACTCCTGTCATGGAGTGATGGCCAAGCTTTCTGATCTCAGGCAGGGAATACACTTTTTTTTTTTTCCTTGCTATTCTGCCCAATATATACCTCAAAGCCAGGATATGTGGGGAACAAAGAAATTCCAGGACAGCTGGTTTTGCTCGTTGGGTTGTTGTTGTTGTTGTTTTGTACCGTGGAGTCAAACCCGACTCCTAGCGACCCCTCCTTGGGTTTCTGAGGCAGTATCACTACGGAGGTAGATTGCCCAACCTTTCTTCCAAAGAGTGGCTGGTGAGTTTGAACCGCCAGCCGTCTGGTTAGCAGGCAAGTGTCTTAACCACTATGTTACCAGAGCTCCCCGCTCATTGGGTAAAATATGCAAATAAATGGTGGTAGTGTTTTTTGTTTTCCTCCTTTTTTTTTTTTCTTTCTTCTGAAATTAGACCCTACGATCATTATTCAGGCATTTCAGACCACACTCAAATTCTGGGTCGATGAATGAGGGCAGAAAAGGGTTGAAAGCCCTAAACGGCACTTGGAATCTTATGGAGTAGTGCTGTCCTGGGAGCCGAGCTTCCGCCCCAGAGGAAAACTCTCTGTGCAAGAACAAGGCTCCCCTGAGAGCACAAGTCAAATGTTACCACGTGGCTTTGACTAGAGGGCCTTCGATTAACATTTGTTCCATCATCCCTTGTCTGGAATGGCCTTTGTTTATCGTATGGAAATATGTTCCCAGGAAGCCCTACAGGGTCTGTTGGATGTGTCTAGGGGGACACACTCTGGCAAGGGCCAGCTCTCCTGAGTCTCTGGGCCCATTGGCAGACTGCTTTCTCTAAATGGTAGGCAAGGTCCTTGATTCTGTGGGACCCATCCATTTCACAGGGAGTAGGGCTTGGGGGCACAGAGAGGTGGGTGATTTTTCCCAAGGTCCCACAGCTAGCCAGTCAAGTCCCTACAAATGGAATGAAAGAGCTCCCGTGGTGCAACACCTTAAGCACGTGGCTTCTAATGGAAAGGTTGACGGTTCAAATCCAGCCAGCAGGTCCAAGGGAGAAAGAGCTGGCAATGTGCTCCCTCAAACGGCCCAGCCTAGAAACCCTATGGGACAGTTCTGTCCAACAGGGGTTGCTGTGCCTGGAAATTAACTCAGTGGCACTTCACAATAAGAACAGTAACGGATGGTGGTGCTACTGTTACAGCTACTGACGTCACTCTGGGAGCCTGCTCTCCCCAACACAAAGCCAAACAGCATGGTCCATGGGGCTGCAATTTGCACTCCCTGCCCCATGCCCCCGAGATAGTACCAGGACACACAAGCTCTGCTCTTGGAACAGTTCTGACCACAGTCCATGCCCTCTGCAGCTCTCATTTTCACCAAAAACCAAACCCACCACCAAGTCCATTCTGCCTTGACCCCATAGTACAGAGCAGAAATGCCCCAGAGGGTTTCCAAGGCTGTCAATCTTCGTCAATCTTCACAGAAGCAAAGCCCAAACCACACCCACTGCTGTAGAGTCGATTCTGACTCACAGCGCCCCTAGAGGACAGAGTGGAACTGCCCCACAGGGTTTCCAAGGCTGTCAATCTTTATAGCAGCAGACTGCCTCCTCTTTCTCCTGCAGAGCAGCTGGTAGGTTGGTTGGAACCACTGACATTCTGCTTAGTGGCCTAATGCCTTAACCATTGTACCACCAGACCTCCTCTCACTTTTCCAGGCATCCCTCAAATGTATTCAGTTGATTAGTTTATTGAATGGTGAATCGCAAACGACTGATATGTGACATTTCCCCAAATTCCATATCGGAATTTCCCCAGTTGCCAAAGATGATAGTCACCTTCTTCAGTCCTACGGTAAAAACTTTCTGAAACCAGCTCCTTATTTCTGGATCGGGGTCTGATAACCTGTGGCTGACGGGGGGAAGGAGGTGATGTCAAACTGAAAGTGAGTAAAAGTTATGAAAGAACATTTTGTTTGTTTGTTTGTTTCATTTTTTTCCCTTCCCTTCCATATTCGTGGACACCTTCTGGACACACAGATCGCGAAGCCTAGTTCTCTGGTTAATTGAGGGGCGAGGGGGCCCGTTCCAGCTCCCGAATGAATCCAGAGGTGAAGCTGAACTCGCTTTTAGTCCCTGGATTCCTGGAGACAACTGTGTTCTCGGGGTCCTGGTCCTCAAAGCCATGGCCCGGCTGAGCGTGGACATTTCAAAGAGAAATAGAAATCCACGGAGGACGCGCGCATGGAGGGGTTGTGGGTTAAAGCAGGTCAAATCAGCCCCTTGTCCTGTTCTTAGCGTTGCCACTATTTTCTTTGCTTGTTTTGTTTTTAACGAATTTGTAAATAAAGTATTCATTACCCACCCAGGAATCTACACCAACCACTTTCTGCTCCCCCTGTCCTGGCGGGGCGCGCCCGGGGCCGGCCCTGCACCAGACAGCCGGCGCTGGGGCGCACGTCGGTGGCCGTGGCGCCTACGGCCTGGGCTGGGTCTCCCGCATCCTGCGCAGCAGAGTGGAGCTAGAAATTGTCTCCTGCTGGGCTAGGCTGGCTGAAGCCCAGAGCCTCTCTGTTGGAGCCAAGAGGTGGCTGGCGAAGATTGCCTCGGGGGCTTGGGGAGACACGGGTGACCGCGCCGCGCGAGGAGCGGTTCCGCTTCTTCATTCCTCCCGAAGGAGAACCGCGAGCTCCGGCCCTGGCCCGCGTCTCGCGTCGCCCTTGTCGCCTCCAGCGCTCAGGCGTCTTTGAAACACCGACTAACAAAGCGGGCCCTCCATCCCCCGCTCCTTTGGAAGGGGCGGACCCAGGACTCCTCCGCCCGCATCCCTGCTGCAGAAATAAACAATTTCCCCGACAAGCTTTGAACTGTGGAAATGCAATTGCCTAATTGGAGACGCCTGCTGTCCCGCACGGCATCTGGACTCGTGCTAAAAACATTGCTGGGGGCTCTTCGCCCAAGCGGGTCTTGCACATCTTACGTGGTGTACGTTTGCTGCATGAATGAAGAGCCTGGGTCTCCATTTGGGGGCCCATGTAAGAGTGGGGTTCGCCCCAGCACAGGGGGCCTGGAGTATAGTGCGTTTTGCCGCGTCTTAGGCTCAACCAGTGGCACCGAGATCCCAGGTTAGAAAATCCTGTCTAACTGCAGGATTCGTGTGTGTGTGTGTGTGTGTGTGTGTAAAATCCCCCAAGTTACCCCGGCTGGAGGAAGACGGGCCCCAAGTGCCAAGCCCCACCATTGCCTGGAGACCAGAGGACAGGAACTGAGTCATCGTCTCCCTCCGCGGTACGCACCTGGCGCTCCCTGCGCCCAGAGAAGCCGTGAGGCCTAGTCTGCGAGGCGCTGGGGGGTGCAGCGGCTTCCCCGGCACCGCCCGCATAGCGCCTTCCCCGCTTCCCACTAACAGGGAACACCTGTAACATGGGAAAGGGGACCAGGAGCTTCCGGCCTGGAATTTCTGACGCTCCAGGAGTGCTATCTTCCTGGAGAACGTCCCACCGATCCCAGGGGGCTGCCACCCTTCTCCCGACGGACGACGGAAGGGAAGGAAGCTTGCTTGCTGCTGCGTCGCTGAAAGCGGGCCGAGTGGGTCACTAAAGCAGACTCTTTTGTCTTCAGAAGGAGCAGCTCTGCCTCTAGCCTTACCCGGTCTGCGCTGGGGAGAAGGATGCAGGTGGCTTGTTGGTGGTCCTCCGCTGAAGCCTACGGACTTTGGTTTGCGTGCGTGAGAGAGACACACAGAGACACACACACACAGAGAAATACAGAGAGACTCACACATAAATACACACACAGAGACAGACAGAGATAGAGAGACAGGGACACACAGAGACAGACACACACACACAGACCAAGGCAGAGAGAGAATATGAAGGAATGAACGCAGGACCCCTCTGCATGATATCAATGTTCTAGTCCTCAGAGGACATTCTGGCCATCTGTGCATGGAGCCACCCACACCACCCCAAAAAAACCCCAAACCAAACCCTTTACACTGAGTCGATTCTGATTCACAGCGACCCTAGAGGACAGAGTGGAACTGTCCCACAGGGTTTCCAAGGCTGTCAACCTTTGTGGAAGCAGACTGCCTCATCCTCCTCCCTCAGAGCCGCGGTTGGGTTCGAACCTTCCACCTTTCAGTTGGTGGCGCTTAACCACAGCTCCCCAGAGCCAGCTTACTCAGTCTGGGGAGACTTTCCCTGAGCACCGATTTCTCTCCGTGACCCGCCTCATGGGAGCCCTGATGGGACATTGCTTGGCAGCTAAGCGAAGGTCAGCAGTTTGAACCCACTCAGTGGTGTGTGGGAGACAGACCTAGCGACCCGTTTCCGTAAAGATGACAGCCTTGGAAACCCTGTGGGGGCAGTTCTACTGTCGCCTGGACTCGCTATGAGTCAAAATGGATTCAGGAGCGTCCAGTAACCACACAATCCCACCTCATCAGCACTGTGCGGTCCCCCCTTCATCCCGGGGCCACGACTCTCAGGGCCAGTCGATTAGTATTATTATTCATTATGCACCAATAATATATTATTTTAAGGACTGGTGGTCTTCCTGGGGCAGTCTGTGCTTCTGTAGAGCTCATGTCCCAAGAACTGACCTCCAGGATTAGCAGGGAGCCCGCTGGGCTTGGAGACCCCTCTCCCCTGCCCACAGGGCGCCTGCCCACACCGGCCCTGTGCGGGGAAGGGGTCTCCGCTGCCCACGTCCCTCCGAGGCTTCCCTGGCGCTCGCTCGGGACGCGGGCCCGCGCTGCGGCTCCTGCAGGTGCCCCCGAGGGAAAAACCCACTTCCGTTCACGCGTACTTGTCAGGTTGCAATAAACGAGGTGGGAGAAGAAAAACAGACAAACCGCGGGACAATCAAAGATTTGTTTTCTGGCCATTTTGCTTTGGAGCTCGGGCTCAGTGGGAGAGTAGGGGAGGCAACGCGAGCTGGAGAGGCGCCGCGAGTCCACACAGGCCGGACCGCCAGGCCGCGGGCGCAGGGGCGCTCCGAAGCGTCGAGCGGAGTCGGTGGCCGCGCGGCACTGCAGTGCACCTGGCCGAGCGTCCCAGGCGGGTGGAAGGGCGCAGGAACCAAGGGGCTCAGGCAACGTCCCAGGACGACGTCCACTGTCCCCTCACTCTGTGCGCGCGTGTAGACCCGGTCCCGGCCGCGGGGCATCAGCCTGGAGCTGGGCCGCAGAGCGCCAGGCCCCCGCGTGGCCCGGGGGTTGGCCCGGTTACAGCCGGGCGGGGTCCGCGCGGAGCAGGTCGGCGAGGCGCAGGCGACCGATGGTCTTCACCTCGCCCAGGGCGGTGCGCAACTCCTGCGCCGGCGGGGAATGCAGCCTGCGTTCCAGCTCGCTGGCCACGGCCGCCGGGTCGCGGAGGCGCGCGGCCAGCACAAAGGGGAAACCGAAGCGCGCGCGGTACTGCGCGTTGAGCTGGGCCAGCCGGCGTCGCTCGTCCGCGCTCAGGCTCTGCAGGCCCGCGGCGCTCTGCTCGCGCTGCGACTCGGCCGTGAGCGTGCCCTGCTGCAGCTCGCGGCCCGCCAGGTCCGGGTGGCAGCGCAGGACGCCCTCTTGGCCTGCGGAGGAGACAGACACGCGGGGCGTCACCGCGCACAGCCAGGAGGGCGCCAGGCGGCGTGCTGCGCTCACCGCGGGGCGCACCGGACACCCTTGAACCGCAGGGGTGGGGTGGGGGGGTGGGCGCGGAGCAGGGACTCGGGCAGAGGCGGGAGGGGACCACCGGAGGACCCCGGCGGCTCAGGGGCGCCCACTGCGCCCGCCCCTCCAACCTGTCCCAGGCCTGGCGCGCCTCCCTCTCCGCTGCTTTCGGCCCCGGCCAGGACCTGGGGGCGGGGCGGGAAGTGACAGGCTTGTCCTTTGAGACCTTGAGGCCCGAGGAGCGCAGGGGAGAGAGGGCGGCCGCGGAGGCTAGGAATTTACGACTCGCTCGGGAGGGAGCAGGGACGCGATAAGGAGGCTGAGTATTTGGTAGGTTTTCAAAGTTCTTTGCTCTCACGGGGGCTTTGATGTCGGAGGGGGCCGGACGCAATGGCCTGAAGACTTCCTGCAAAAGCCTTAGGAATGAGTTTCGCGCCTGCTCCAGAGAAGAGCGGGTAGGGACGGGGTGGATCTGTCGGAATGACATCCAAGGAGCTAGGCAAATACACGCCCAGGACTTTGTGACCCTCTGTGTGCGCTCGGGGGTTCGGGAATCAGGCGGTTCAACACGCTTGGCTGTAGCGAAACCCACTCGCAGTGGGAATTCCAACACCTTTCCTGCCGCCAGGGGAACTGAACCCACGCACTCGCCGCCCTGCGCAGGGCTCACGGCCCTTCGTGGTAGATCCCTCCAAGACGGCAGAAATAAGGTCTTACTGCAAGCACGTGTCTCGTCCTCTCCTAGGCCTGAGGTTGGGCCTTGAAGTCCAAAGAGAGCATTAGACTCTTGGAGGTGGGGAATGGGGGCTTGTGGCTCGTGCCACTTCAGACTCACTGAGCGGCACTCAGAATCTATAAAACGACAGTGAGGACACCTAATTTGATGGTTGATGGTTAGTTGTGCGGATTAGAGACAATTCATGTACCTGAAACAGCGCCTAATGCCCAATAAACGATTAAGGACCTGGTATTATTATTAGGCCTAGTGAGTAAACCCAGTGCAAGTGGACTGAGCGCCTGGGGGGTGGGTGGAAAGCGGAGAGGACTGGTTCTTTGAATCTGACAAAGCCGTTGGCCAGCTCTGGCGCTGAAGATAAGCGTGAGGGTCTATTGGAAAAGGGGATCGTTTAAGGAAAGGAAAAAAAAAAAAGACCTTTTAATTATGGTATGTTTTTTTTTTTTTTAAATCCATTGCTGTACATTCTGACTCACGACAACATCATATGCTATGGAGCGGAGCCATTCCATAGGGTTTTCTTGTCTGTAATACTATACGAAAGCAGGTTACCAGGCCTTTCAACCGCAGCGCAGATAACCAAGCCAAACCCACTGCTGTGGAGTCAGATCTGACTCATGGCGACCCCTCCTTAGGTTTTGGAGGCGGTATCACTGCGGAACTTGATTGCACAGCCTTCCTTTCGAGGAGTGGCTGGTGGGTTTGAACTGCCAGCCTTCTGGTTAGCAGTCAAGTGCCTTAGGCACTGCACCGCTAGAGTTCCAATCATCAATCTTAGGGTTAGTAGCCCTGTCCACCTTTTCTCCACCCAGGGACCTTAATTATCATATGACCCACCCCTCACCTTACTCCAACCTTACAGTATCTGCCCAGTTACAGGATGATTGGGGTAGCGTCATCTAACTGACCAATCAGTGGTCCTAAAAGGTAGGGAGAACTGAGGATAACATCTCCAGTTAAGAGAGGTTCGGGGGAGGCTTGGGAGAGGTTACGTGACCTGCCCAAGGCCACCTAGCCAGAAGCTGGCTGTGCCTGGAATCCAGAGAGGTGGTTTTTTTTCACGTTCCCCAACCAAACCAAACTCACTGCCCGTGGAGTCAGTCCTGACTCATAGAGACCCCTCCTTGGGTTTCTCCTGTCAACAATAATTCTAAATCTACAATATCTCTGTTTTGGAATCCCTCTTATGGGCCCTACACCTTGGGCATTGCAACGCTGAGATGACACGAGGCCTGTCCTGGAGTCCTTCGCAGCCCACCCAGCCCCAGGGACTGCAGGGGCCCAGGCTGAGGGAGGGCGCTGTGAACCCTAGGGGACTCCCACGGCCCAGAGCAGCAGGAGCGCTCCTGCACGTCTCCTCCTCTTGGCGCTTCCCCGTCCTGTGGTCCCCTTGCACAGCCAGGGGGCTCCGAAATACAGTCTTCTGACCGGCCCACCCCGTCCTCGGTTCCCCTCCCCCTAGATTCTCACCAGCCCGAACTGATGGAAGAGGAGTCCCTGAGTCATTGCTCGCAGGTCCGGGCGTGGTGGTAGATCTGCCCCCTTACCGCCCCCTACTGCACTCCCAGGGCTGAGCTCCGGGCGATGGCGTCGATTTGGGGGCAGGGCTCCATCGCACCAGGGGGCCAATCTCACACACGCCAGGCCGGTCTCTTGTCCTTCAACCCTGACACCTGGCTTCTCACTGCCCTCGGGTTTATCTCCCCTCTTGGAAACATCGCACAGGGTTAATATTTGCCCAGAATTAAGCATGCGTTTTCACACACCGGGGAGGCGAAGGAGGGGGCCCTCGAACAGCAGTGAGTGAAGGGAAGAGGAAAAGAGACTAAAAGGGAGCAACTGGAATCGAAAGAACAAAACACAAAAGCCCTGGCTGTTGATAAAAAGAAACGTAGCAGGGACTGGGTGGAGGGCGGTTACGGTTATGGCATTGGATAGCGCCCCTAGAGGACAGAGTGGAACTGCACCCTAGTGTTCTCAAGGTTGTAATCTTTACAGGAACAGACTGCCACGTCTTTTCCCCCGGTGGTGTGGCTGATGGGTCCAAACCGCCAGCTTCTTCGTTAGCGGCCAAGCGCTAACCGCTGCCCCACCAGGGCTCCCGAGTGGATGGCAGTTTGGAAGGAATAGAACCTGACCCGGCTCGGCCCAAACTCCATCTTCATTGCCCCAAGCCACTGACTCCTTAAGGCCACTTCATTGACCTCGTAGGGTCCCAGTTCCCCCTCCAACGCTGCATCCATCACGGACCTCTCACCGTGGCCCCAGAGGGAAATGAGAAATACAGGTGGATTCTTCTCCCCTGCCTGCCTTGTCTAGAGGTCCATCACCTGAATGCCTAAGTTCTTGGTAGGACAGCTGAGGCCGGGTGGTTCACAGGCCCAGCTCAGTGCTGCCCGTCTTTCCAAGTCTTTCCTGGAGCCCTAGACTTACCGTCTGTGCCACTGGCTCACCATGTCCTGTATCTTGTCTTGGGATGGAGATGTGGACATGCAATATTATGGGGACCACATGGCATGAAATTTTGCACCTAGAAGAGCTCCTAGCACAGAATGGACACTCGTGATTTCAAAAAAAGTGGGAAGGCCGTGGTGGTCGTGAAAGAGCTGGCAGGAGACCTGGAACCCTTGGTATCGATGTCCACCAACATCTTTCCAGGGTCGGCATCCATTCCTGTGTTCTCCCTCCTGGAAGCTGATGCCTTGTGCCTTCTATGGAAAACCGACCCCTTCGCTTCTGCTCTGGAAGCCAGTACCTCTTTCCTTCTCAAAGAATCTGTTTCTGCCATTTAAAAAATCAATCCCCCCACCACCACTGCCTCATCACCATCAACACACAAACACACCTCACACTCACTCACCCCACCCACAAACAAACATCTTCCCTGGATCTCTTCTTATCCTCATGTTTCTCCCCATTTTCCTGCTCCTTGTGACTGCAAAACTCCTCAAAAGATTTGCCTCTTTTTGTCTCTGTTTCCCCACTTCCTCTTCCCAGTTCCCTCTGTCAAGCTTTCAGGCCCACTACATCAATTAGTAGCATAGTGCCTAAGGCACTTGACTGCTCACCAGAAGGCTGGAGGTTCAAACCCACCAGCCACTCCTCCGAAGGAAGATGGGGCAATCTACTTTCATAGTGATACTGCCTCGGAAACCCAAGGAGGGATCGCTATGAGTCGGGGCCGACTCCACGGCACACAATAACGACAACAACAACATCAATTAGTCGGCTCGATGATTAAGTTCATACGTGACCTGACATCTTGCCAAAGCCCAATGACCCACACCCTGTCCCCTTCATTCTCATCCTCCCAGGAGCATGTCACACGGTTGGCCCTCTGTCCTTTTTAAAAGATTATCATCTTCTGAGACCCACTGGCTGCTCTCACCACTGGCTCTTCCTCCTTCACTGGAACCCAACCTTCAAAGCATCCCTGGGCTCCGTACTTGAACCTCTGCCTTCTTCTGTTTACATGGAACCTCTGAGTGTTCTCATCTAGCCCCAAG